CCTCCAGCTGAATTGAGCTTTCCTTAGTGTTCCATGAGCTTCCATATACTTTGTGATCTGTTTGTGAGCTGCATTTGATGTCCAAATAATCCACCAAGCTACCCAACGTGTGTCATGCTCCAATGTACCTACATGTGCAAGGAAACAAGGTAAGTCCATGGCATTGAGCTGATATGAGCTAAATACCTTGTTGTCATGCATGATTATGGTAATGTGAGCTATGTTTGAAGGTTATGAGCTAAATATATCATCTTATAATATGTGTGAGCTAATGCATAAAGCCTAAGTGCTAAAATGAATGTATAGAAGCTGATAAAATGAATGATAACTATGATGCCTTGATGTATATGTGATAACCATGCTTAATATGATTATAAGACTATTCTAACATACTTAATATATAAAAATAACAATGTGCATGATGTGTTCATACTAAGTTATTTATTAACTACATAACTAGTATTCTTATCATGAAATGTATTATAATAACATATAGTATAGAACTAGTATAAAGTAAATTTAGTATAAAGATGTTCAAGAGTACTCCTTTTAGTGAAAACGTGTTTGCATCATCCTCTCCTTCTTTAGGGCAATTTGTCCTCAAATCGTGATCATTCTGTCCTTGCATAGCTTCACGTATCTTTGCTAAAAGAAAGCATCCTTTGAACGTTTGTGTTCTTCCATTAGGTATCCTTTTGTAAGATTTCCCTTTAGGCCTTTCTTTGGAATATGATTTAACTACAGGTACCCTTTGGGAATGATATTTTTCTAGGGATATCCCTTTTGGACGTGACCTTTCATGTGGTTGGTCCTAAAAAGTGAGGAGAGAATAGGTTTCAAATGAAGGGGTACTTACCTTTTGAAGATTAAGACCCTTAGTGAAGAGTTGTGTCTTTAAATTCCAACCATCACCAATTTTTATAGGAGACCCTTCATTTTCTAGCATTGAACCATCATGTTTCTTCATGAAGAAGTTTGGTTTCATGTTTCGTCCCTCTTCATTCTTCATTGGTGGTTTATCTTTGTGCCATGCTTGTACACTCTTTCGCATATGCAATTGGTCTTGTTGTACTTCTTTAGGCGTCAAAGGCACCAAGGTTACCTTGCGTCCATCATGCTTAAAAGTGTATTGATTGTGATAACAATCATGGATGGCCCTTTTATCATACTACCATGGTCTACCAAGTAAGATGTGGCTAGCATGCATAGGGACAATGTCACAAAGCACCTCGTCCTTGTACCTACCAACTGAAAAACAAATTAGAAACTATTTGGTAACGTTTAACTCACCTCCTTCATTGAGCCATTGGAGTTTATATGGAGTGGGATGCTTTGATATTACCAAACCCAACTTTTCAACCATAAGAGTGCTGGCTACGTTTGTGCAACTCCCTCCATCGATAATCATAGTGCAAACCTTGTCCTTGACATGACACCTTATATGGAAAATATTGTTTCTTTGAAGATCCTCTTGAAACGTTTGTGATTGTAGGCACCTTTTCAAAACAAGCATCTCTCTATGGTCTGCATTCTCTTCAGATTCTTCTTCTTGTATTGCTTCAGGTTCCTCGTCATAAATAGGCTCTTCAAAATCCGAGACAATATCTCCATTGTCAAGTACCTTCATGGCATTTCGATTTGGACATTGACTGGCAACATGTCCTTTCCCAAAACATTTGAAACATTTAATGTCTCTAGACCTCTCGAAAATGTTGGTTTACTTTTCTTTACCCTTGCTAGATTCGCCTACTTGTTTAGTCTTGGTTACTTCTATAGGATCCTTTGCTTGGGTTGGAATTGGCTTCCTGAATGTGATCGGCTCTTGCTTTCATTTGGTGGCCGAACTTGGACTGCTCCGATTGTAGGTTTTCCTTTTGAGTTGTCGTTCAATTTTCAAGGCCACATGTACCATCTCTTCAATCTCTACATAATGTTGAAGTTCAACAAGGTTAGCAATATCAGATTTAGGCCAGATAAAAACCTTGACATGGTTGCTTCTCTGTCTTCATCAACATTGGCTCGAATCATGGCTATCTCTATTTTCTTGAAATAATCTTCAACGTTCTTGCTTCCTTGTTTTAGATTTTGTAGTTTATGATAAAGATCTCGGTGATAGTGAGTAGGCACAAACCTTTTCCTCATAATGGCCTTCATTTCTTCCCACGTAGTGATGGGGCGTTCACTATTTCGTCTTCTTGAACTCACCAACTGATCCCACCAAACTAAGGCATAGTCCACGAATTCCATAGCAGCAAGGCTGATCTTCTTTTTCTCCGTATAATTTTGGCATTAAAAAATGTGTTCGATCTTGATTACCCAATCAAGATAGGCTTCATGATCAGTTCATCCTTGAAATGGATGAATGGTTACCTTGATGTTGATGAAGTTGTCATTCTGATTTCGATGAACATCTCTTCGCACTACTGATGTTACTTCAGCCTCTTCTTCTTTGAATTCTTCTTCAATTCTAGGGCGATTTACTCTCCGGTTGCTTAAGGATGCTTCAAATTAATCCATACGATCATGCAAAGGATCCAATTCTAATTTCAACAATCTGGTCATTTCATGCATGATTGCTTGAGTTTGCAAATTAGGGGCTTCTCTTTCAGGGGTTTGTCCTGGACTTAGAGACATGGTTAGTGAAATAAGAAAAGAATAAAATGTGTAAAAGACCTTACCAGAAATTACTCTCACAAAGCTTCACGAGTCACTCCAAGAAAAACTTGAATGTCACTAAATCCGCTCGTGTTTGCACTATATGACTTTAATAGCTTTTACTTGTCCTCTTCTGATCTCACACACGCGAACGCTCAAGCCTTTTTCCTCTCGCTTCTCTTTATCCCAAGTTCTAGAGGACTTTACTCAAAACCGTATCAAGTTATTTAAATATATAGAAAGGGGGCTTAGAAAAATAGAAAGAAGAGAATAATAGGTAGGTTATTTAAATAATGAGTGATGGAAGCGGAACATGGTTGATATGACTATGGTTTATGGTTGATGAAACAAAGGGATGATTGTGAGGTAGTATCTTAAAGAAGACTCAAAGAAGAACTAATGCTATAAAGAGCAAAGACCCAGACTTTATATTGCTTCTTTAAGGGGTGGTATAAAGGACTTTAACCCACTAGTTATAAGAACTAGGAACCAAAAGTATCAAGGGGAAGGGGATTGACGCCATAAGTATAAAATACTTGATAAGTCGATAAAAGTTGCCAGGACTTAAGAAAGAGAATAATCTCACTTAATTTAATAAAAAAGGTATGCTTACAAATGAAATATGCTTTCCTATTTATTTATAGGAAATGGAGAGGCATGGCCGAATAGATACATGGTGGTTCGGCCAGCCTTTGTGTCTTTCTATAAAGTCATAATTTAATTACAAATAGAGATGATGGTTCGGTTTAAATGGAGGGTAATAACCCTTGGCCGAATAGCTCTTGTGTCCCTTCAAGTTGGGGCCAAAAAGGATGAGAAATGATGGTTGGCCGAATAGTTATAGGGCTCTTCATCTTGGCGCCTAAATGATACCACATGCAAGGCACATGGGGGCTGGTCATATGGCACGCACATGGGTGTTCTAGGGAGTCTTGTGGTGCAGCCTTGTGCATGGGATGAAGGCTGGTCATGTGCATCATCTTGGGCGTGCATGTGTCTTCCTCCAAGCTAGCTTGAGTGTGGAGCTAGCTAGCAAGCATGGGGTTGTTTGTGTATGAGCTTCCTAGCCGAGTCCTTGTAAGCTTCATAACAGCATGTTCAGCTACATTCAGCTACCATTGATATCACTTTTGGCAACTCAGTCTCAAATAGTCCAATTAGTTGAGTTTAGCTAGCCTTGAGCTCCTCCAGCTGAATTGAGCTTTCCTTAGTGTTCCATGAGCTGCCATATAATTTGTGAGTTGTTTGTGAGCTGCATTTGATATCCAAATAATCCACCAAGCTACCCCAACGTTTGTCATGCTCCAATGTACCTACATGTGCAAGGATACAAGGTAAGTCCATGGCATTGAGCTGATATGAGCTAAATACCTTGTTGTCATGCATGATTATGGTAATGTGAGCTATTTTGAAGGTCATGAGCTAAATATATCATCTTATAATATGTGTGAGCTAATGCATAAAGCCTAAGTGCTAAAATGAATGCATATGAGCTGATAAAATGAATGATAACTATGTTGCCTTGATGTATATGTGATAATCATGCTTAATATGGTTATAAGACTATTCTAACATGCTTAATATATAAAAATAACAATGTGCATGATGTGTTCATACTAAGTTATTTATTAACTACATAACTAGTATTCTTATCATGAAATGTATTATAATAGCATATAGTATAGAACTGGTATAAAGTAAATTCAATATAAACATTTTCAAGAGTACTCCCTTTGTAGGTGAAAACATGCTTGCATCAGAGAATAGTTGAAATCTATGTCCAACGGTGTAATATGGGGAAGCAATTGTTCACGCTAATTCCATGTGTTGATGCATATAGCATGTTTTATTGGCCAATTTTCAGTATGTTTCTCACGCGTATCAATTCTATAAAGCACATCCATATCAACCATATGCGTAAGAAATGACTGATGCGACGGGAAACTATTGTATCACTCTATGAGCAGCATGCCACCCAACAATCACATAACGCAATAACGACGTCACAACACACCATAAGTGGGACCTCTCAAAAAATCCCCTTGGCAATTACTGGTTGATCTCCTCGTCAACATACGGAAGCCAAGAGAACTGTAAATATTAAATATCAAAATTAGTATATATAAAGTTAAAAAGATTCAAAAAATAAAAAAATACAAAAATTGTATGTCCTACTGCATATTGACTGGCGATGTCGATCCTCATCTATATATCTTACGCAGTGGCGCCCCCAACTTCGTCTCAGATATTTTATGATGTCATCTAAAATTTTTAAAAATAAAAAAATATTATAAATAAATAAAAATAATTAAATTTATGAAATTAAAAAAATTCATAAAAAATAATTACCTTGCAGCTAGAGGAAACTCAATAGGGGTTGTTGTAAGTGGCGACATAAACGGGAATCGATACCAAACCCACCACTGTAACAGTATCAGACAGTCGACGACATCGACTTTTCGACCCAACTGGATAATTACAGCCTTGCAAAGCTCTCGGTATAGAAAAGCTAAAATCGCTAAGCCCCAATTGGTATTACGGCACACAGTGAAGTCTTCCAAATATCGCAAATATTGAGTTTGCACCAAATTACCGGATTTATCTAGTAGTAATACCGCTCCGATCAGTTGGAGAAAATATGCTTGAGACATGAAAATAATCTCTTCCTCGGTAGACTCGTCCGTCACATGGAATTTTGATTCCAACCATATTATCCGTACCCGAAAGCCGTTGATGACGTCGGATGGTGGCCATTTTCCAAAAACTTGGTAGACCAATGATGTGGGGTCGTTCATGTTATGATTCACTAGGGCTCCATTCACAGGAACATCGAGTTGGTAAGCGACGTCTTCCAAAGTAATTGTCACTTCACCACTAGGGAAGTGGAACGTGTGCGTCTCGGGCCGCCAACGTTCGGCCACAGCCTCAATCAACGTCGGGTACAGCTTGAAGCCACGCATAAATATGAACAGAAATAGACCAGATTGCTATAGATATACCACAGTCCGCTGATGCGGCTCTCCGAATGTCATCCCGTACTTACAAATATTCCATTCATCATTCGGACAACGTACGATTGGCAAAACATGGACGTTATCCAGGCGCAACATATATTATCGGGTTGCCATTTTTTGAGATTTTGACAGAATGTATGTTTTTTGTATTTTTTTAGATTCAGGGTTTGGTGAGAAACCAAAATCCCAAACCCCTATTTATAGCCTTATATCCAACGACTATAAACGACTAATTGGGAAAAATACCCTTCCTAACTTGTCTCCTCGAGGTGACGAGTTCCAATTGACCTTTGGTCGTGATCGTTACCCATATAATCGGGGTGACGAGTTCCACGTAATTTTTTATTTATTCTTTTCATTTCATTTTATTTTTGTAATTTTAAAAAATATTTTTAAACGGACTCGTCACGCCGAGGTGACGAGTCATTTTAATGATAATAAAATAATTACCCACGTGGGGCCCACTTCACGAGAATAATTTAAAAATAATATCTCAGGAACTCGTCACATCATTGCTTATTAACCTGCTTGGAGTATAGGGCCAAAAAATCGCATCTTTTTGTAAGTACACCGTTTAAGTCTTTATTTTAATTTTCTTCTAATCTGTGATGAATCTTTTACTTATAACTGAACGCTCATACCTCTCATGCCTCTTTGAAGCAATGGCAGAAAAAATTCCTTCGGATCACCTTTTATGCATGTCTCATATGCAGTCTTTGTGACATAATCACGTTTCAGTAGTGAATACACACAATTACTCCCTTGAAGATTTAATAGATCCAACCCTAGTAAAAGCCCACGTTTCAGTACAAACATTGTCGATGTTATTTATTCGTGGTTTTCTTGTAGGATAATCTTTTAATGAGCCTTCATTCTCCTAGAGGTCACCATATTATTGAAATTCTATTTCTTAAACATATCATTAAAGAAATTTTATAAAATAATTATTAGTACACTTGAATTCATTACTAAAATAAACAATCAATAATTACATATAATCTGTATTATTATTCTATAAAAATAAAATAATTTAATACTTCTATCATACATCATTTTGTAACGGCAATTTTCTATTTTCTCCTCCATTGTGGTTGAATTTAAATAAATACAGTTATTTTCAAGATAAAACCCTATAAACCATAGAACCATGTCTTCTTAACAGTGTGTAAGATCACAACAATCACACTTAATTTGACTTCTCAAAATCAAATGGCATATTTAAAGGTACTAATCCTCTCACAATCCAAATAAGTGGTAAAAAATTGTTAGTAAAATGCCCCCTCGTTCTCCTTATATTAGTTATTTAGCTAACCTAAAGTTTGACAGCATCATTGATCAAACTCGAGCTCCAGTCTACGTTCAGCATATCATGTCGCATCCAAACAATCTACGTAGGCATATTTAATACACAAAAGTTCTGTTCAACTGTTGTCTAATGAAGAACTTTGCAAACAAAACTGCCATAACAATTTGTTCCATGATAAATGACCAACAATAAGATCCCAAATGCGATAAAAGATAAAACTTTCACCAAGTCAACTCAAGTACAACTAAACGGTCCAAGGTTTTCAAAGAAAGCAAGGTCATCTGTTTATTTCAATTTTCATATGAACAACGAGAAATGCATGTTCATATATATGTATGCCAAACAAAAATGGGGCTTTACCGTACTGGCTGTTGGTTGTACCGGCTCTTCTCTTTCTTCTTCGCACTTCTTGCAGCAGCCTCTTGTGCAGCAGCTTTTGCGGCAGCATCCATCTCTTTGCTAGATTTTTTCTTCTTCATAGATGTCACCTTCTTTAGCCGCTCCTTCACATCAACAGCAGCTGCATTCTCCCCAGTCTGCTCATTCCAAGCAGCAGCATCAGGCCCATTGGTGGCATCTGTACTACTGGGCTGATCCTGAATTTCTTTTCCCTCCTTTGATTTATCTTTCTTTTTCTTCTTCTTGGTACTTTTAGACTCTCCGGGAGGATTTTCTTTCTTTTCTTGTGGTACATCTGTAGGTATAAGAGAAAAAGAGCCAGATTAGAAGAAACTTGTTCCACAATACATGTTTAGGAAAAGGAACTTTTTTGGACTAAAATGTCATAGTCTCTAGGGTACAGTGCTTCTCTTTAGCTAAGCAGCAACATTATTAACCTTAAAAGGTTGTATGCACGCGTTTAAGAGAGAATTTCATATATTCAAAGTTCAACTCACAAACAACTTCAAGGTCCTTATGCATACATCCCATTAAATTCAATTATTAAATATTGTTCATCAAAATAACGATCGTCTAAGAATTCATTCTGCTGCTTTCTAACCTATACTATAGGATTGATTAACTAACCAACTTTCCGCCAAAACTGTTGCAAAGTAATATAGGAAGTGAAAAAAGCACCAAGTTGGTTAAAATTACCATGTGACTCATCCTGGCTGTAGCTCTCCCTCTGTGTAGCTCCAAAATCTGCAAGAAGAGCATCCAACTCTGCAAGTTCCTTCCTCTTCCTCTCTTTCTTTGAAAGTTGTCTTTCTGCCTCTTTGGGTGGTGCAGGAATTTCAAGATCCCTTTTTAGCATAGGCTCTGGATGTACTTGAATCTCTGGTTCTTCATCATGATCTTCATTCATATCATCATCACCTTCATCTAAAATATCTTCTTCACTCTCACTATCCTGTAATCACATATATTGAGAGTTTGTCAAGAAGGCAACTAATTTTTACCATTCATTCTCTATAATTGTTTCCATCCAATCATAGAAGATAAATCATTTACACTGAAGGGACTCATTCTTTTGGCAGAAATAGACTGCAGTCCTATAAGGACCCAGTAAGAAAGTGCAAGGTAAGTGTCATAACCGTCTTTCGCGCGGAAGGAAAAATATTGATACTGACGATTTTTTTTCTTTGAAAATCATTTTGAAAGGTGAGGAGTCGCCACCAATCATTTGAGGTGCGATTGGAACACCGTAAAAATTAGATGATTTTTAATAAAACATTTAGTTTTTATTAAAATACCGAGTTTTGAGGTCTGCGAAAATCTAGAAATCAGGTTCGGGAGTCGGTTACGCATGGGGAAGGATTAACACCCCCACAAGCGCCCAAAAATTAGTACTTAGTTGATTACCCTATATTTAAAATCGTAAATTTTGAGTTCGATCTTTATTTAATTTAAAAATCATTAAGGATGTAGAGTTCGAAAATGATATTCGTTTATTGAGACCGATAGCTTTCTCCCCCGAGCGTAAATGCGGGAGATCGTCTATTGTGCCTAATAACCGAATATTACCTCATTTTTAGAAAACATGATGTGGTTCTGAAAAGGATGTCGACTTATTCAATGAATTATCAGTATTCACCCCCTAAACACGATCGCGGGAGATATACTATTAACTCCTTAATAAGTGAACATTGCCTTAAGTTTTAAAAACAATGCAATCAAGCAAAATTTTATTTAATCTTAATTATACTAAAAATAAATGTTTTTTTCTAACCTACGTTGTCAAATTATGAAAATTAAAGAATAGGAGCTCAAATTTAAAATGTAAATTCTAATATTAATACTTAATGCTATATATTAAAATGGATTGAATATTCATGTATTAGAAATTTTCTTTTTATAATTTTAAAACGATCAAATATTACACTTAATCAATTTATTTCGATTCGAGTCAAGTAATGCTAATGAGGATATCATACATCTCGTACAAAAATGATGACATGTTATTTAGAGGTAATTCATTCACATGTCCGTATACTTTTCAAGATAAATTACATGTATATGCATGATAAATATCCATACTTACACACCAACAAAATCTAATCAAAATCAATAAATTAATAACCTTCACATGCTAATTTTCTATTGATATATGTAAGTATATGTTATCATGAAAAATAATAAATAAAAGGAATCTACACAATAAAGCATCACTATAAATAAAAAATAGGTTTAATATATTTATAATGGAAAACACGGCAATTTAATATATCATACACATTATATTAAAATATGAATGCAAGTATAATATTTTATATTGATTTCTTTAGCCTACCGAAACCTTGTCAGACTCAAAATCAAGCCATCAAGCACTTAACTACCGAAAACGAGAGAAGTATCACTATGCAAGTATAATATATAAACTTATATTTACCAATAACATGTCAAACTATAAATTTTAAAAATATATATATTTAAAATTTAAAATAATGACTAAATTTAAATAAATGTGAGATTAAACAAAATGCCTTGCAGGAAGTCTTGAATCAGACTTTCATATCGAAAGATGTGCCAGTAGAAAAGATAGATCGACTAGTTGCAAATATTCAGGTGGATAACTTCATCTCTTTCTCTGATGACGAGATCTCGTCTGGAATAATGGGCAACCCCAAAGCCCTACACATTACCATCATGTGTAAAGGACATGTGTTATCATGAGTACTGATCGACAACGGATCTGCCCTGAATGTGATGCCATTAATAACCTTGAAGAAACTTCCGGTCGACAGTACACAATGAGAAATTGCCAAAGCATTGTTTGAGCTTTCGACGGAACAAAGAAGGAGGTACTGGGAAAGATCGATATTCCTCTAACCATAGGTCCATCAACCTATGAGGTCGAATTCCTTGAAATGGATATAATACCCTCTTATAACTGCTTGTTAGGAAGGCCTTGGATCCACCAGGCAAGAGCCGTGCCATCCACTCTGCATCAGAAACTCAAATTTGTAATTGAGGGGAGACTGGTATGCCTTAATGCCGAAGAAGATATCATTGCTTCCATATCTACTACCGCCCCATATGTCGAAGTAGATGAAGATGCGGTTAAGTGCTCTTTCAGAGCCCTGAAATTCATTAATGCTACCTTTGTTGCTGAAGGAAAGAAAATTCCAAAGCCAAGGCTGTCCAACTGTACCAAAATGGAATTGAAAATGACTCTGGGAAGAGGAGCCAAGGTTGGGAGAGGGCTCGGAAGTCGCTTACAAGGAAATATTAGTCCAATTTTTCCCAATATTAAGCGAGATCGTTTTGGTATGGGATATCGTCCGACCTTAAAAGAAAAGTTGAAAAATGTTCAAAAGAGCTAGGAAATGAGAAAAGCCAGGTTAGCTGGGGAGGATATTAAGTGGGAGCCCATGATTTTCTCACCATTGTGTAACACCTTCATATCCGGGGGGGCACATGTTTTAGGGGGCCCGATCATCTAAAGAGCCTGTTATTGAAAATGCCCTGAGAGATTTGGGTATAAATGTGATATCGGAGGAAGGAATCGAAGATGGAATGGCTATGAGCATTTACCTCGCACCACCAGGCTTTGGGCAAAACAATTGGACTGCAGAAGAATTACATGTAGTTTACAAAACTGTCTCAGAGTAATGCACAAAAACTTTCCCTATTGTCTAAACCCCGGGACAATAAGTGATCTTCTATAAGGGGTTAATCTATATGTTTTTTATTTTAATAAATGATGCATTCATGTTAATTCATGAAATGGAAAACATCATCCCTTGCATTTTTTCTCGTTATTTATTTATTATACATTATTATTTCATTCTATTTTGATATGGGATAGATCATCTTGTATTTGTATATGTATATATATCCTCTCGTTCATTATTCTTTCAGGACCTCCAGTATCAATAGTATGAATGCTGATGACTCTGACCCGAAGATAGATTTTGAGCTGCCCATATGTCAAGGGGAAATTGGAGGTTATGATAGTGATGAGGGAAGCAACTTACCTTCTGAACTACTGAAAATGGTAGAGAGAGAAGATAAACAAATTCTGCCTCATGAAGAGCCCATTGAGATATTGAATCTAGGATCAGAGGAAGATAAAAAAGAGATAAAAATTGGCACCATCATATCTGTTGAGGGACGACAAAGTCTGATTGAGCTACTTCGAGAATATAGAAATGTGTTTGCTTGGTCGTATGAGGACATGCCAGGTTTAGATATTGAGTTAGTGGTACATAAGTTTCCAATAAAGCCCGAATGTAAACCGGTACAACAAAAGCTCAGAAGGATGCGACCTGAAATGCTACTTAAAATTAAAGAAGAAGTAAAGAAGCAATTTGATGCTGGGTTCCTGAAAGTAGCCAAGTATCCAAAATGGGTAGAAAACGTTGTTCCAGTTCCAAAGAAAGATGGGAAAGTTCATATGTGCGTCGACTACAGAGATCTTAATCGGGCCAGTCCGAAAGATAATTTCCCTCTGCCACACATAGACACTCTAGTGGACAATACGGCTGGAAAACTTTCTATTTTCGTTTATGGATGGGTTTTCATGTTACAATCAAATAAAGATGCATCTAGATGATATGGAAAAAACTACATTTGTCACTATGTGGGGCACGTTCTGTTACAAGGTGATGCCGTTTGGGCTAAAGAATACAGGAGCAACTTATCAAAGGGCTATGGTAACACTATTCCATGACATGATGCATAAGGAAATAGAGGTCTATGTCGATGATATGATTGTTAAAGCTAAAACGGAGGAAGAACACATCGAGAATAAGAGTCAGACTCAACCAAAGAATATCCAACCAGGATTGTCGATTGAGATGAATTACTGTTGATTTTTCGTGTCCAAATCAGTCTGAAGTACAAGGTCGTTAACAAAAGCAAATTCTCGTTTGAAAAGAAAATACTCTCAAAATAACTGCATCATTGCACACATTTTAGGCATAAACAGGATCATGACATAAAATGCATAATAATGGGTGCTTGCAGGTTCTCTTAAAAGAAATGACAGAGATGTAAAGACCCAACATAGAAATAACCAATTCGAACTTCCATGATTGGTCGGGGCAAGAAAAGCTTCCGCAAGAGAAATCTCTTCCAAAGATTATTATCCCGAGACTTTCAGGTATGATGTTTTTGAATCCTCAAACACATACTAACAAAGGTTAATGTTTAATTTTCAGGTTCGACCCTGATTCAATGGATCAACTTTCCCAGATCTGATATTCCCTCAGAGAAAGCGGAATAGATCCATCTCTTTCAAGATTTGATATTCCCTGAGTGATAGCGGAACAAGTCTACGCTGATTCAATGAATCAACTTTCCCAGATCTGATATTCCCTCAGAGAAAGCGGAACAGATCCCACTCTTTCAAGATTTGATATTCCCTGAGTGACAGCGGACAAGTCTACCTTGATTCAATAAATCAACTTTCCCATATCTGATATTCCCTCAGAGGAAGCGGAACAGATCCCTCTCTTTCAAGATTTGATATTCCCTGAATGACAGCGGAACAAGTCTACCTTGATTCAATGAATCAACTTTCCCATATCTGATATTCCCTCAGAGGAAGCGGAACATATCCCTCTCTTTCAAGATTTGATATTCCCTTAGTGACAGTGGAACAAGTCACCCTGATTCAATGGATCAACTTTCCTAGATCTGATATTCCCTCAGAAGAAGTGGAACATATCAAATCTCTTTCAAGATTTGATATTCCATAAGTGATAATGGAACAAGTCTACCCTGATTCAATCTTCCCTGAAGAACAGTGGAGTGGATCAACATCCCCAGATCTGATAATCCCTGAATGACAGCAAAACAGATCCTTTATCATATTTTAAATTATGAAGTTGACTGGACGAAAAATTGATTGTCTTTTCATCTTTGCCCTATTCTTGTTAACATAAGAATGGACAAAGAGGGGCAGCT